TGTTTTACTTTAAGCAAGTAGAGAATGTGATAATGATTTGGAGGTGAAAACAAAGACGGCAGCATCACAGACTTCTACAAATATTAAGCTGGCTAGATAAGATGATTTCTCGCCTTATAATATTTTAATCTTCTGGTACTAATGCGTGAACTTCTTCTTCACTTAGAATTCATGTGATACGTACAACAGCGTTTGTGGCATTCACTCAATAATGACGGTCTGAACAATTACAATGTCATTGGCACTATAATTCCTCCTACAAGCTAAAAGCCAAGATTTCAACAAAATTAACTGTATACCCTTCTTTCATGGTCAAATATGCTATTCTCAGTACACACAAACTCATCGTTATACTTGTATTTCAATATTGGAGTTGTTTTTGGAAGTATTTCTGGAGGTCTTATAACAATTATGGCTGCAGAAGGAAATGTTCTCGTGATACTGAAACTGTTAAGCTACATAATTATGATAGTGTTTGAGATGTTGCAATTATTATAACTGCAATACATCAATCAATCCTGTCATAATAATTTTCTAAATCTAGTTTCGATGAATTTAAGTAAATTATTATTAACGTTAAAGTTTCAATGGTTCGATTGGCAATCAGCTTTAGCGGGATGGTAAGATTATTTTATCGATTATAAAATTTGTAATCTTGAAAATGCTTATTTTGGTAATAACAAGATAATATTAAAGAAATTCAAATATAAAGAATTATCTCAATATTATTTACAAGACTTTGTCTCCATTTTAATTTTCGCCGAAATCTATCAATATTATTTTCAAGCAAATAAAAGTTACAAAGTAAGGATTGTTAATACTATTCTCGCAGATCTCATAATATTCATCGAGTTTACATCTTAATCCCAAAAAAAAACTTCGCACTTAGATGGGTTCGCTAATCTGGTAAATAATTGAATTGAAGAATTTATTAAAGGAAGTCCTTTTTATTTATATTTTTTTTTGTAATTGTCAATTTCTATTCCACTAAAATACATCGAATAAGAAATAGGGAAGACAGAAATAATTATTAAAATTCGAAAAATTCTTCGACGTGTTGCTTCTAACAAAATGGTGTTGGATTTTATATCGTTAATAATTAATCGTATCAGATAATTATTTATAAGGCTTATTTATGAACAGGTATTCATCTGAATATATATTCTAAATGGAAGCTTCTAAATTAGTCAAGCCTGGGCCAACTCAATATTTGTCATTATAAAAGTTTCAATTTAATTGTATAAAATGAGAGAAATAAGATATTAAGCATCAAAAAAAAAATTTTTTACGAACGACGCTTTGTATTCTAAAGTATGAAAGTTTTATTCGTTGTATGACTTTTTTGCAGTAGACACGGAGGAATTTCTAAAATCATTTGGATTAATGCTAAATTTGGATATGTATTACTTTAACATAAAAGATCCATATTCTCTCAAGTATTGATTGTAAAGATCAAAAATACAGAGGGTGAACAAAAGTATCTGAACACATATATCTTAGAAAAAAATCTCAAAATATATTGTATAAAATTTTCATGCAATTTAATCAGT